GTCGCCGCCAGTCGACACGACGCGAAACTGCCGTAAGCTTTGGTCGGGCCTGTCCCCCTACAGGCCGATTTTGGAGGACAAGTTTCCGACACTGGGCGGACGGGGGGAGCGAGGAAGGGGGGAAAGCATGCGACGCACGCAACGAAGACCATGATGCAATCACGAGAGTTAGATGCGTGAGCGGATCAGACCAAAGCGTCACTGATGAGGCTATGATGCTTTGGACGCCCGAAATGGGTACCGAAAGAATGGGTACAATGCCCAACAGCAATTGTTGTCCCAAACAAACAGCGGCCGCTGTTGGGCAGGCGGCCTCCTGTCTCGAATGGACACAGGCCGCGGCGGCGTGGACAGCAAGCCCTGTTCAAAATGAACAAGATCCGCTGTTGGGCATTGTACCCACTCTTTCAGTACCCATTTCGTGCGTGCAGAATGCCTCTGTTGGTTCTTGAGCCGGCTATGATGCCCGCTCGTGCCCACCCCGTGCCGTCGCCAGGGCCTCCGCATCGTTCTGTGATGGTGGGATGGGGCGACGGTCCGCCTCTCCCCCAGAACCTGCACGCACTGTGCCCGCCGGGCTCGTGGGGATGTTGGTGAATTCTATGAATGTCCCCTCTGGATCTCTGTTTATTGGGCGCCCGGGTTATCCGGGGTAACTCGGGTCCGGGGTAACTCGGGTTTGGATTCCCGAAAAAGGAACCCGATAGAGCCCTGACCCGAATTACCCCTGATGATTCGGGGCTCTGGACGCCCGGGTTATCAGGGGTAACTCGGGTCCGGGGTAACTCGGGTTTGGATTCCCGAAAAAACGAACCCGAGTTATCCCTGACCCGAGTTACCCCTGATGACTCGGGGCTCTGACTGGATCTCTGTTTAGTGCCACTGCTTGCAGCAGTGCGTCCTGTGAGGGAGGGCCCACCTGCTCGGCAGAGGGGCCAAAGGCAGCCGGGACCTGCTCCAGAGGGGAGGAGGGGGGGGGGGCCCGCGCCGATCGGCAGAACAATGAGTAAGAATACGACCACTATGCAGTCGAGGCCCAGAAACCCAAGGCTCTGCCAACAAAAATGGAGCGGCCGCTGGTAGGCTGCCTTCTCGGCTGCCAGGGCCCGCGCGATCGGGCCCCCGGACACCGTCCAAGAACGACTGGGGATAAGAAGCCCCTCTTCCTCCTTCCTCGTCCCCGAAACTCCTGGGCCCGTTTTCTCGGTCCTTTTCGGCCCCCGCCCCTCCGGCGGGAGCATGTGTCGGGGGGTGACCCCCCCCCACGCGCCTCGGGCGCGCGCGCGTAGCTTCGGCCGCGCGGACGGCTGCGTCCAACTGGACATCGAGCCGATAGCGATAGCGATAGCGATAGCCCTTCCTGGTCATGGCATACCGTGGAGGCCAGCCCACAAGAAACCTTCCACGCAGCGCGCGGAGCGAAGAAGCACAGCTCCTCGAGGAGCGCCCCCCCTGTACCCAACGATCTGGGCCGGGGAAGATTGAAGGGGCCCTGGCACACACAAATAAATACACACTCATAAAATGATTCCCCATATTTTCCCATATTTTCTGCATTTTGGTCTTCCCGCCCACTTCCCATATTTTCCCATGTTTTCCTGGGACTCGACGATTAGTTGTGTCTGTGTGTTTCTTTCCCTCCTGAAAGATGCCCAGACCTCCGAGGGCCCACGCCTCGAACCACCACGGGCGAGCGCCGCACCGCGCGTCGCGACGACGCCGGCGCCGGCCGGCGACGCCGCGCGGGCGGTGCAGCCCTGGCCTTGGGCGTGGCTTAATGGGGGGGTCACAAATGGGGGGATCAGGAAAGGTCCCCTTTCCAAGGGCTCCCAACTTCGCGCTTCGCGCTGCGCGAAGCGCGAAGCGCGAATAACTTCGCGCTCTCGCGCCGCCCCCCAAAAGGGAGAAAAGGAGGACGAGGAGGAGAAGGAGAAGGAACGAGGACCGCGAAGCGCGAATAACTTCGCACCCTCGTGGGAGCCCTTGCTTAATGGGGGGGGCACAAATGGGGGGATCAGGAAAGGTCCCCTTTCGTGCCCCTTTCGGGCCCCTCCACAGCCCCAGGGGGCTCGTTTGGGTACCGTTTGGGTACCTTTTCGGACCACGCTCGCCACCCCCCCATTTGTGTCCCCCCCATTACGCGGCGCCCAATGGCCGATCGCTGCCCTTAGGCCGGGCCTGTCCCCATACAGGGGGATTTTGGACGAAAAGTCAAAATGCACCAAAAATGCGCAAAAAAAATGCTCACAAGATGTCCCCTGACGATGTCCTCCTGGAATCATTCCTCCTGTAGAGGGACAGGCCCGTCAGAAGGCTGCTCTCCCCGATGCCGCAGGAGCTTCGAGGGCGGCCGCTGCCGCGGCGTCTAAGCTCCGAAGCCCGGACTCGGAGGTCACCCGAGTATACCGTCCGCAGGACTCGGAGGCGGCCCATGGGCCCGAGCCCGATAAGCCCAGAGATAGGCGCCTCCTCCCCCTCCCCCTCCCCCTCCCCCTCCTCCTCCTCCTCCTCCTCCTCCTCCTCCTCTCCTCCTCCTCCTCCTCCTCCTCCCCCCTCCCCCTGCCCCTCCCCCTCCCCTCCCCTCCCCCTCCTCCACCTCCTCATCCTCCTCCTCCTCCTCCTCCTCCTCCTCCACCTCCTCCACCTCCTCCTCCCCCCTCCTCCTCCTCCTCCTCCTCCTCCTCCTCCACCACCTCCTCCTCCCCCCTCCTCCTCCTCCTCCTCCTCCTCCTCCTCCTCCTCCCCCCTCCCTCTCCTCCTCCTCCTCCCCCTCCCTCTCTCCTCCTCCTCCTCCTCCTCCTCCTCCTCCTCCTTCTCCAACTCCTGCTCCCCCTTCTCCTCCTCCTCCCGCCTCCTCCTCCTCTCCTCCTCCTCCTCCTCCTCCTCCGCCTCCACCTCCTCCTCCTCCTCCTCCTCAAGAGGGGGGATGAACGAAGGCAAATTCGATCAGCATCGGCCTCCAGACGCCTCCCTGAGTCGAAGCTGACACATTGTCCGAGCCGCGCCCAGCCGTGGCGAAGAGGGGGCCCCGAGAGCCCCCTTTCTCCCCCCTCTCTAGAGGCTGGAGCCAAGTGCGGGGCCAGATCAGCTCCCCAGCCAGCTCCAGGGGACGGCATTGAGCACGCAAGGACAACTCGGAGAACTCTGGGAACCCGGGATCGGCGGCGAGTCCAGGGGGGGCCAGAAACACAAGGTTGACTTTGCCATCATTTCCGAAACAACGTCTCTTGAAAATGGACAAAGAAAACAGTCCTGGCGCAAGACCCAACCATGCGCAATTGTGAACACCGCGTTGTGGGTACCGCTTTCGGTGGAGTTCCAGTTGGGGCCACGAACCGTGTGAAGGATGTGCCAAAATGAACGTCGGGCGCATGCGGCCTGCGCCACTGGGGCCGTCGGTGGAGCTCCCTGTGGGGCCACGAACCATGTGAGTGGTGCGCCGAAATGGCTGGCGGCTCCCGCATGCGGACCCTGCCGCTAGGGCCGTCGGCAGAGCTCCCTATTAGGCCACCAACCCTGTTGGGCCACGATCCGTGTGAGGGGTGTACGAAAAATAGGTGGCGGTCCCCGCATGCTGACCCTGCCCCTGGGGCCGTCGGTAAAACTCCATGTGGGGCCACGAACCGTGTGAAAGTGTGCCAAAATGAGCGGCGGTCCCCGCATGCGGACCCTGCTGCTAGGGCCTTCCGTGGAGCGCCCTGTGGGGCCACGATCCTCGTGAGGGGTGTGCCTCAATGGGTTGCGTTCCCCGCATGCGGACCCTGCCGCTGGGGCCTTCGGTGGAGCGCCCTGTGGGGCCACGATCCTCGGGAGGGGTGTGCCTCAATGGGTTGCGTTCCCCGCATGCGGACCCTGCCGCTGGGGCCTTCGGTGGGGCGCCCTGTGGGGCCACGATCCTCGGGAGGGGTGTGCCTCAATGGGTAGCGGTCCATGCATGCGGACCCTGCCGCTGGGGCCTTCGGTGGAGCGCCCTGTGGGGCCACGATCCTCGGAAGGGGGGTGTCAAAATGGGTGGCGGTCCCCGCGTGGGGACCCTGCCGCTGGGGCCTTCGGTGGAGCGCCCCGTGAGGCCACGAAGCGTGTGAGGGGTGTGCCTCCATGGGTGGCGGTCCCCGCGCGCGGACCCTGCCACTGGGGCCTTCGGTGGAGCTCTCTACGGGGCCACGAACCGCGTGAAGGGTGCGCCAGAGGGAGAGGCAAGGGCCAGGGATGGCAGGAGGGAGGAGGGGGAGGGGGCAGCGGGAGGGAGGAAGGAGGAGAGGAAGGAGGAGCGGAGAGGGGAGGGGAGGGGAGGGGAGGGGAGGAGAGGAGAGGAGAGGAGAGGCGACGCGGGGCGCTCTCTTCAAAAACAAAGAAACCAACATCACAAGATGGTTGGGAAAACGTGTAACCAAAAACGGCGAAAAAAACAGCTCTGGGATCAGAACAGGAACCGGAACTGGCAAAACACGGCGACGGAACCGGCCAAAAAACGGCGACGGAACCGGCAAGAAAACGTCGAAACGGAACCCGTGAAAAAATGCCACTGTCGTTTCCAGGGCCCAGTAAGGGAGTGAGAAGCCCCAGCGCCTTCTTGGAAAGCCTACCCCCTCTCACTTCCCCCTCGGGGCTCGCCGCCGAGACGGGCCCAAGGGGTGCATCGGGCGGGCGCCGCGTGGCATACCAGAGCCCTGCGGAGCGCCTCCGAGGGTGCTCCGAACGCCCTGGAGCCATCCTCACGCAGCCGCGTCTCTCTCACGGGGGTGTAGTGACCGAAGCTGTGCTCGAAAACCTGCTCGAGTGTGACCGAAACCGGCGCTCACAGTTTTCGGAGCACGCCAGGATGTGACCGAAGCTCGTGTTCCGAAGCCAACGCGATGTCAACTTCGGTAACAAGTTCCGTCGCACGACGTGTTCGGTAACAACTTCAGGCACGTTGTCCATCACAAGTTGCTCTGTCACATACCTTTTCTGGCTCATCGGGGCTGGGCGCCACGACCGTGCTGTTATCCCAGGGCTGCCTGGAAGGTGCCAGGGGAAGTGTACTTCCCGTCGCTCACGGTCGGGTGGCCTGGCGGCAAAGCGCATGGGAGACGAAACCAAAGGAATCTCAGGCGAGAAGAGAATCGGCGGCGACTAAGGGGGGGGAATGAGAAGGAGAGAAGGCCTGCTCAAAGGCGGCGGGACTTCTCAAAGCCCTCGCGCCTTCTGAGACATGTTCTGTGCCTTCGTGCAAATCGTAAGGAACTTCTCGGAGGCCTGGGGGACTTCCGAGCCTCCTGAGAAGGTCCCCCCCTTCTCACTTCCCCCCCGTCGCTTGGGGAAACCAAAAGGTACCGATACCGCTACTCACCAGACCTCTCCTGGGGTGCGTTCTGACCAGGATCACGGGGCGAATCCAGCGGTGGTGACGAGGGCCGCCCTGGAAGGCCCAAAGAGGGGCGAGGGGTAGAGGCATGGGCACCTTCTCCTCCCCTGACTTCTCACTTCCCCCCCTTCGCTCGCCACCGAGGCACAGCACACGGAAGCCGAAAACGAACGGGTATCACGCGAGGAGAAGAAGCGGCGCTGCGCACTGCGCACGAGCCTTACAAGCGAGGAACACCGCGCGCAGAAGAGGGCGCTCCTGCGCGCGACCCTGCGCGGGAGCTCACGCGCGGATGCCCGCGGAAGGGACCTCGCTCCTGCTCCTCCTCCGCCGCCTCCTCCTCCTCCTCGCTCCTCCTCCTCCTCCTCCTCCTCCGCCTCCTCCTCCTCCACCATTTCCTCCTCCTCCTCCTCCTCCCCCTCCTCCTCCTCCTCCTCGCCTCTCCTCCTCCTCCGCATCATCCTCCTCCTCCCTTCTCCTCCTTCTCCTCCTCCTCCTCCTCCTCCTCCTCCTCCTTCTCCTCCTCCTCCTCCTCTCCCTCTCTCCTGCTCCTCCTCCTCCTCCTCCTCCTCCTGCTCCTCCTCCTCCTCCTCCTTCTCCTCCTCCCTCCTCCTCCTCCTCCTCCTCCTCCTCCTCCTCCTCCTCCTCCCTGAGCCTTCTGGGAGGGCCCGCCGCCCTCCGCCTTTCCCCCTCGGAAGCGCGCCGCGGCGGAGCCACGGCCCCGCGGGCCGGGGCCCCCTGGGCTGCGGCCCCGTGGGCTCGGTGCGTCTTTTCGCGGATGGCCCTTCCGTCTCTCGGGTCGGGCGAAAGGGGGGGATAGCGAAGGGGGGGGTTGAGAATCAGCTCACGTAGCTGATTTTCCCGGCGCCTCCCGGCGCCGGAGGCGGCCATGTATCGAGGAATGGGCCCCTCGGTGAGGCCGAAACCAGCTGCATGCAGCAAATTTCGTACCCCCCCCTTTCCCAATCCCCCCCTTTCGCCCGGCCCGAGTCTCACACACAGGCATTGAGCGCGCCCGCTGGGTCACAAGAGGGGGGAACGCTCAAGGCGTCGGCGATACTACCTGTTTGAGATGCCCTAGAAGTTCCTTGTTTATTCCCGCGACTGCCCATTTGGCATTCCCGCTAGTTCCCGCGTTCACGATAATTCCCGAAAGTTCCCGCCTGTTCCAACTAATGATTGTGGACCATGCGGGGGCAGGTGGTCGAAGGATCGAACGAAGGATCACCAACTTGCCATCGCTCGGACGTCCATTTCCCGTACATGTTTCGTTGATCGTGCGTGTTTCTGTTTGCTCGATGGTCCAGGATGGTCCTCGATGGTTCCCGCCGAGAAAAAATGCACACGTCCGAGCGATGCCAAGCCAGTGCCGACAGGTGACTGGGCCTGCCTGGAGCCCAGGAGAGCGAGGCCGCAGCCTCCGAACACTAACAGCGCAGCGCAGATTGAGACACACATGCGAGCCATGTACACACTGATCAAACAACCCACATACAGTCGGACTCGATTGGACAGGACACGCGAGAGGACACAAGTGTGTTCCGAGGGCCACATTGCCACAGGAATGTAGGAAGCATGGGTCGCAAGACACAGGACACAAGGGTACCCTTGATTCGGCAGGGTCGACCTACTAATCCGGGCCGCCGGTAATCGATATGTTGTCGTGTATTGGGTGCGCCATGTCGCAGTGCTGGTGCAGAGGAGATGGTGAAGAGGGGAGTCCACCTCGACCTCGGATCGACGATACAGCGGAGGCCTGTCCACAAGAAACCCTCCATAAGAATCCCAACCCTGAGACCCAAGGACTTCCATCAATTTTCGGGGTGGGAGCGACGCGCTTTCCATGGCAAAACCGTCGAAACCCAAGAAACCCAGGGCAACCTGGAGGCAAGCAAAGTGTCCTGGCATGGCCCCCCACAGAACGTCGCCGGTATACGTCGCCGATGGGCCGCCCGAGTGTAACAGCAAGCTCTTAAGCGCAGTGGGAAGCCCGTGCCCCTCTCGGCGCTGAGTTGCGCTTGAGGTCAACGCTTATGTTGCTCCCATCGTACTTGAAGGACCACATCCCAGATATAACTCGAGCACACCGAAAAGCATCGAAACAATGTCGAACGAGTATCGCCTTCCAGGGCCCGACACGTGAGAACCCTCCAATTGCTGTATTTTCTGGAAGCTCGAAATTCTTTCTGGTGGTCAAGGCTAAAGTAGGTTGGAACATCATAAGACGACGCCACCAGTTCTGCAGGCGGCGAGCGAGGGGGGAAGTGAGCGCGAGAAGGCCTTCTCAGCAGGCGGCGGGACTTCTCAGAAGCCCTCGCGCCTTCTGAGAAGTGTTCCGCGTCCTCGGGGAAGGCTCCGAACACGTCTCGGCCGGCCGAGGGACCTCCTGGCCTTCTGGGAAGGCCCGCCCCTCCTCACTTCCCCCCCCCTCGCTCGCCGCCGAGTACAGAGGGCCCCACAGAAGCACACACACACATGAGCGTTCGGAGCTTTCTGCGGACTTCTGGGATCGGCGTTGGACCCCCCCTTTCCCAGCGATGCGACGCGCGCCGGGGGGCGGCGCCACAGAGGCGCGCGCCAGGGGCGCCCAGCGCCGAACCGAGGGATGCGCGCGGAGGTCCAGCAGGTGATGCTTCGGGGATCTCCTGACCCGGGTCAATCCAGATCCGGGTCAGCAGGAAACCAAAAACTGCAATGCAGGACAAAAAAACTGCAGCGCAGGTCTTCGCAAACCCGGGTCAGCCAATATGCGCGGCCGCCTCGCGGCCACGAGCGGCTCCCTGACCCGGGTCAGCCAGAGGGGGTCTTCGCAGGATCCTGCAGGATCCGGTGCCGAGGCTGACCCCCGTCTGCACTGACCCCCGTCTCGAGGCTCCCGAATGCTCGTGAGCATCGTTTAGCCGGTCCCCCATCCCCAGCGGCGAGGCCTGGGCCCCACTGGCCGAGTGACCCTAGATGGGGATGTGGGCAGTTCCCTTCGGGCGTCGAGGGGTGTATCCCCAATTGGGGTGGTAAGTTGGTGGGGGTCCTCGGTCCAGCCGTAGGCTGAATAGAGAACGGAGCTAAGCTCCCTCGCGCGCCGCGAAAGGAGGGCGGACCCTCCCTGCCACCAGAGGGCGACCAGGGGCCGAGCCGAAGCGCCCTCGGGGTTGCAGCCTCCCCCCGGGGTCTCGAAGGGGATGGGGATGGGGATGGGGATTGGTTTCATAAACGATGCCGAGCTCAGCTGTGCCGTTTGTTCTTCCTCGGCGTCCCTCGCCCCCCCCCAGGCCTCCGACCTCGTGCCTCTGCGCAAGAAGCGAGACCCTCCTTCGAGCAGGGACCGACCGTCCTGGCATCCCTATCATGGCTACCACAACAAAACCAATGCTCTTAGAACAGACACCCGATGTGTGTGTGTGCGTGTGCAAAACAGGACGGTCTCAGCCAGAAGTGCTCCAATAACATCTCGTGCAGACCACAAAAGGTTCTAAGAACATTATTTGGCAGGCCTTCAGTCGGGGATGGACTGAACCCCCTTTGGCAAAACGTGGTTTAGTCAAAACGACCTCGGGCAAAAACCTGGCGGGCGCAAGAGGGAAAATGGCGGCCGCGGCGCCCTCTCGAGAGCCGAAAGCGGACCGTTTACGAACCGACGCGTCAGGGTGGGGGTTCTGTCCACCCCCGATATAGGCGAGCCAAGACGCTTCGCCACTGCTTGAGTCCTAGACTTATGTCGGGAGTGTCCCCCTACAGGGGGATTGTCGACGAAAAACAAACCCACACCAAAAAGGTGAAACAATACTCGAAGAATAGTCCCCAGACTATTTCTGGACCATCTTTGGACTATTGTTGGGGTACGTTTTATTTCTCGTGGAAAATCCCCCTGTATAGGGGGACAGGCCCGACTTAATCCTAGACCTCCCGACCCCACCTCCTCCTCTCTCCTAGACACCCCTCCTCCTCCTCCTCCTCCTCCTCCTCCTCCTCCTCCTCCTCCTCCTCCTCCTCCTCCTCTTCCTCCTCTTCCTCCATCTCCTCCCCTCCTCCTGCTCCTCCTCCTCCTCCTCCGCCTCCTCCTGTCCTGCACCCCCTCCTCCTTTCCTCCTCCTCCTCTTCCTCCTCCTCTCCTCCTCCCTCCTCCTCCTCCTCCTCCTCCTCCCCTCCTCCTCCTGCCTCCCCTCCTCCTCCTCCTCCTCCTCCTCCTCCTCCTCCTCCTCCTCCTCCTCCTCCTCCTCCTCCTCGCTCCTCCTCCCCCTCCCACTGGACTCGCCGGTGTCCGCCGCGGCCCGTCCTCTGCGGGCCCCGCGGCGCGGCCCCCCCGGCGCGCCGCAGGCCCCCGGAGAATCGCGCACCGTGGCGCTGCGTCTACGCCGGGCCTGCCCCCTCTCCAGGGGGATCTGTTTAGGGAGCACACAGTGGACGTACGCGCCCAGCTGTGTACATGAACGCGGCCCCTCGATCCGCGAGACCGGCCGCGTTGTACGGACATTTGCGCAATGCGCACTCTCGAAACCTGCGTGGATTCATGTACGTGTACGTCTTTCTTTCGCTCCTGAATGTTGGACGGGATGATGCGCAAATCGGGGGGACGTAAGACTCGGGTACGGGGGGACTCGGATTGTGCCCGACAGGGCAATCATAGAAACGACGAGACCCAATCCGAAAATTGACGAGGGCTCTCGCTGCGGACATCCCACCAAAACTGGACCGTCAAAATCCAG